GGCAGGACATATGTGCTTATATGTAAATAGAGGATGAATTATTGTACCTCATTGTTTGCACATTGGACATTATGCGTGTGTCTGGGAGTAATTGTCAAAAATCCAAAAGTGATTTTCCTGTCAAATCATCTTGAAATCCTTGAGTATGATGCATTTATTACTCAAATATATTCTCATATTTGCCCTCAAATTGATTTGGGTAGGTGGATTGTTGGTTGTATGGAATGGAAGGACAATTTTGAAAAAGTAGAGCATTATGTGGTCTGTCAATGTCAGGAGAATCTATAGGCTTTGAAATAAAAAAATGACTAACGGTCAAATTTATAATTAGAAGTTGCTTAAAATTGTTCCCAAACATACACTATATAAGAAACTTGTGGCTGTCCAGAACTTGCTATCCCTCGGTACATTTTTGACACTTTGAGCACATCGCTTCCTATTGAGTTATGCTATTTGTATGGCGTGGGAAAATAGCTACATTTTCCTAAAATATTTGGGAGACATCTTAATTCATCAGAAAATCCAACATTAAATGCTGATCCTCAGAACTGCTGATGAACAGCCTTACTCCTCCCTATTGGCTGATTAATAAGTGATGTTCTTACGTGTCAACAATGTATCGAAGAACAGCAAGCACTGAAGGACATAAAGGGATAGCTAAACCAATTTTCGATAGTTTTGAGCTGCCGCAAGTTAGATACTGAGTGGCCTAAAATGATCAGTTTCATTACGTTCTGGAAAGTAAACAGTCAACTTCTTAAGCCACTAGATTTGCATTCGATTTTTGAGGCCACTCACCAATTCTGTAACGATACAATTTCTGTCGGATCCATAAGATAACATAAATTAATAAAAAGGAGCATTTTAAAAATCTTGTGTACTTTTCTAGATGGGTTGATAGAGTTGTTTACTCAAGAAGGTTTTTGACTCCTCAAATGCATTAGGGACAGGCAGGTGTACGCGGAAGGTCTGTCAATGACCTCTCTACAAACACCGGAAATATTGTCTCTTCAACTGAATTAAGGCCAGTACAAGGCCCTGGAACAAATTCAATAATGTATGATTGACCGTTTTAGTGTAGACGAGTTGCATCCTGTAATTTGAACTGATGATGGGTTTCTCAACTGGCATGCACCTCTTCTGTTACTCTAGCGAAAAATCCAATGTGGTCGACTAGTGGTGATCGACCCAGACCCTACCTTGGTGCTTGGATGCAGATAACCATTGACAAAACCATGGAAATTGTATTCCTTTCAGCATGTAGCTACCCAGATGTGTTTTTCTGAAGATTCTCATAAAATGCCCAAAAGATGCCAAGGTTAGGTTGTATCTACAGATTCATGGCTGGGATAGCTGCCATCAGCATTTATAACAACAGTCCAATTAAACAAGCACAGATTTCTTACAATGGCTGATTTAATATCCCAGTTACACATTTAATAAGATCTTGCATTTTCGGCAGTTCTGTTATGCCAGCTGGGAATTTGCATATAAGATTGAATTGTTGAATGAACATATAAGGGTAACAAAGGATTTAACCAGAGGCCAAAAGTTAACAAGCATTCCAACATTTATACAAATTCACAAAGTTACAATTATGCAGGCCAACAAGGACAAGTATGGATAAGCTAATCGTACAAGGTATGAAAATACACCATGTTTGCTCTACCTGCTCCGCTCTTCCTTTGCTCAACGTTAATAGAACTCATGAAGCAAAAGTTTCCTGATTCTTAGTCGATAATCGCTTGAGGAACTCATAAGTGGTGATCATCGTCGTTGCGGACATTGACATTGAAGCCCATCTAGGACCTAATCCTCTGTAACAGGCACCCAACCCACCTTCCTTCAACAAGTTCCTCACAGTTTGTAAAATTGTTGATGGCTTACCACGCGCCCTATCTTCCCCATCCAAAACCTGCAACCTCGTCTTAATTGTATCGAGAGGCATCGTTACCAAAGCCGATACACCACTAGCCATCGAAGCGCTCAGTCCCTGAACCACCACCATCGCCTTCCCATCTGGCCTATAACCACCACTGCCACTCGCATCCTTTTTATGGCAATAACAACCAACGCAGCCCCAAATCACTCTATGTGCGACAGAGTATGATGCCCACCACACAGCATTAGATGGTGCGTAAGTCAATATTGATATTCCAAATCCCCTATACAATCCTCTCACTCCGTCAGCATATATGATCTTTCTAAAAGCATCAATCCCACCATTGTATTTTTGTAAGCCAACAGCACTTGCCGTTGAATCACAACCACCTCCTTGGACCATTAGTCTCTGGCTCACAACATCAATTGGTGTCCAAACCAATTGTGCAGCCATGGCAGCACTTAGCCCGGCAGCAGCATTAGCAACAGCTGATGCCGAGGCTTCAGACAATCCTAGGTGACCTGTAGTAACATTGCCTACATTACTCTTGGTTATTTCGAGTGCTCCCATGTACAGAGCACGAGCTGGGATTGTTCCCATAAGAGAAGTCCCAAAACCCCTGTAGAATCCTCTAAATCCTTCACTCCTCAAAATTGAGCTAGCCATTTTTAGGCAAGAAATCCCATTTAACATCACTTGCTGCCGTGTTTTCAACACCACAATAGGGTAAAGTGAGCCTGAAACACCGGAAAATAGTGCCGCCCCGAGGAAGAAAAACTTGGACTTATCAAGCATCTCCCAATCAATATCCGCCGGAAGATGGATTTCCGATTCTGAATCATCCTCAGCAGCTTTTAAGCTTATTTTCGCCACTTTTAATTTTTCTTCCAAAATAACACTCCCTAACTTGGAAATATCTGTTTTTCCTAAACTAACAAATTTTTAGCTCCTAATGACCAAAACATCTAACATAAAGCAAAAAGAAATAGAAAGAAAGTCACTAATGTCAACAGTATACTAAACTAACCAAGCCTCTGTCCTAATTTTTGGATTATACAATGGGTCCAGCTTAAATTGTAAAAATAAAATAATAAAGAAGGAAAAAAATAAGAACACACACATATATTTGGGGATGCGTATACGTAAAAGGTTATTTTTTCCGTCTGCGCAAGCAGATTATAGAACAAAAGTGAGCCCGCGTAGAAAGATCCAGCATTTGCTCACCAGAAATTTGAAGCCGATAATTTGTTAGCAGCGTCTGATTACATGAAAAAGTCCAATATCAGAATACTGGCGAAGCTGAATACAACATGGATGGTGATGGGGTTGATGAGAGTTAAAGAGTAAACTTTGTTGAAATAGCAGGAAATGCAAAAGGGTGGCGCAAGAGTATGTAAAGGAGGGTTGATGGAATTTGGCGTTTTGAGGGTTTTGCGGATCAGATGGAGGCTAGACCCATGTCAGTTGGAATTGGGATTTTGTGTTTTGGGCTTAGAATAATCTGTGGGGGCTCTGCCGTTCGATTGGATTCGATTCAAGAACTGTGGGTGATAGCCAACTGATCTTGTTTTGTTCCTCCTTTTTCAATTTTTGCCTTTTCCCATTTACATTTCTTGGATAAGAATTTTGTATTCATGTAAATTTGGGCACAATCTTTCTCAAAAATTTGTTTAAGTTTCTTTTCTTTTTTTCTCTTTTCTTGATGTCCCTAAAGTTTCAACTTTTTTGGACTTCCTATAAGATGGTTTTCAATAGGGATGGCAAGGTGGCTATAGGGCGCCTTAGGAAAATGAGGGTCAAGTTTAGCTTTAATGAAAATCAAATAGAGAAAAATACAGTTAAAAATAAACACAAATATTTACGTAGTTCACCCAATTTAGACAGAGGCGGACCCACTTGAGGCCGTGTGGGGTTGGCCGCCCCCACTCAATTTTCAAATTTTTGATTTTTCTTGAGGTTTTTTCAAGTTTTTCAGATTTTTTCCAATGATTTTTTGCTTTCGCCCCCATTGAGTTTTCATCTTGGGTCCGCCCCTGAATTTAGACTACGTGCATAGACAAGTGTAAGAAAATTTCACTATAGTAAAAGAATTATAATAACACTCTCTAAATACAATAAAATAATAAAAATTAATCTCTCTTGTAATAGAAGAAACTAAGTAAGAAGCACTCAAGATTTTTCTCTATAATTTTAGGGAGATTTTTATAAATGGCCTGCCACTATTCATTTTTTATAAAATGTTTATAATACCCTTAATGAAAGGATTTGTCATATTTTGCACAAGATATCCTTAATTTATTGGGATAGTTCTAAAA